AATTTTAATTCAAGAATATATGGGAACTAATCTACCTTTTTATAATTTTAATACAGAAATGAAAATGATGACTAAGTGTAAGTGTATTTGGATATGCTTTAAGTAAAAGAAAACACATTTAACATATAAATTGAGGCTATTTACAGTCCCCATGTGTGTATATAAATATATAGAAGTAGACTCTATTGGTGTTGGATCAGATTAGAGAACTGCATTCTAAATTGCCCCATTATAGACTTATTCTTAAGGCACTGGTCAGTCCCTGGCCACCTTCCTGTAGCATGGTAACAATCAAAACTGTAGCATTGATTTACAAATCTTGCATACAGTGTTCATGGTCCTAATCACACAATGGTGCAAATTAGTAGCAACTCATTTGGAATCGAAGTATTTAAATCGATATAAATATGGTGCAAGTTCATTACCTCCCTCCCTATCTCTTTGTATAGTAATGATCTTGGGTAGGAGCCAGATATGCCAGTGTCCCATTTACATAAGGATTTCAAAATGGTCAATGACAAAATATGACGTTTTTGTCTTTTAGTTTGAATTTTATGGGTAATCGTTAACAGGAATCTGTAAGTGACCCTCTTAAATCCAAATACAATATAGTTGGCTGTTTACAACTCAAATGCATTGATTTTGCTCTATTTCGTCAATGATAGCTATGAAGTCATGCAGCAGCACAGTCTGTATCTACAGAAAACCCAACAAAAGAATGATTTCTTCAGTGAGGCTCTAAGAAGGAAGGAGCTAGATGGTGCCACATTAAGAAAAATGTAAAGCACAATTAAAGTAGTAGTTTTAGTTCTTTAGGAGAGTAAAGATAAAAACACAATTATTTAGTGTTAGAGACTGAAATTCAAATGAATTAGGTTTGAGCCCTATTAATCATAATTATACGTATTTTGTGCTGTTCTCCAATTTGGGACGTTATAAATCCTCTTTTGTTAAGGGCATGCCCTAGAAGAACACAACACATGGTACTAACTTGCCTTGCATTTATGGCTTATTTGATTTGGTCCCCTGCAGGACTCCTTTCCTAACAATAAGGTTGAATGAGGCAGATGTTTCCTGTGGCTTCTTTTTTGCTCCAACTTTTCCTTTTTTGCTTCTGGCAGTGATAGATACCTAGATTACTGCTATTAATTGCACCTTGGTTTGTGGTGGTCCTTGATCCTTTTTCTCCCATCGTGTTAAAACAGATTGGCACATTATCACACACCCTGGCCATAGCTGCACTGCCATGGAAAATGAGAATTCCATTATAGTGGAACGCTTGTAATAATTGCACCACTTTTTCTTCTAAAAATGGTTGATCCATTTACTGCTGTAAAGAACATGAACTCTGACCTGTGGCAAGAGCAGAGAGAAATCTTATTCTTACTGAACAATAATATATATGTAGCATGATTTCTGAAGATTGTTCTTGTACAAGCTTTTAGCAAACCAGACCTGTTGATTTTTGTTTTCATAAACTGATAGTTTGGGGTCTGAGGTTCTCAAAACTGTTCCACATCCCTTATTTCTTTGTCTCATTTTGGTGAGGTGAGGTGTTAATGAATCCTGGAGAGAAGAGGTCCATGAGAGGTTACAAAATGTTTTGATTTGCTCCGTGATCAGTCAGGTTTAAAATCCATTACTGATTTTATATATTTACTCAAATGTTTATTAACTACAATAAAATAGGCCCCATTCAGTGCTGTGGGTAACCTCATGATCCTTTTACAAATACATTAATACATAAACAAACTGATCCATTACAATTACTGCAGATTACATCAAATCCAATTTGATCAAAGTCATAATTTTTCAAAATTGTCCCAAATTGTGTAGCTTTTGAAGCTGAGACTAAAAGCAGGCATTGTGTTCAGTAAGTTTAGTCTTTGCTCTTTTTTTTTTGTGAAGTTAAAAATCATTTAATGGGGCTTTCTGCCATCTTCTATTTGCTCTGAGCAAATGCTGTTTCTGCTCATAATTGTTTTCTGTACAACAGAATGTGCTTGGAATCTAATAATTGTAATTGTCTTTTGAGTTATTGTTAAGCTGATGACATATTTTACCACTCTGCTTATTATGTTTTTCACGTTTCAAACAGCACCAAGCGTTTATCAGAAAGATGGAGTGCTTAGAAGTATTTCTTCTATGACAGTACCTTATTTATTCCTTGTGTCTCTGGTTTCTGGTGTGTACGCACAAGTGATTGGTTTTAAAAAAAAATCCCAAACATCTTATTATCTTTTTACCTTTTCTCTCTGGCTAAATTTTCAAATTCATAAATCCACAGCTACCTATATAACTAAACAGTATGGTTTTCAGAAGTTCAAGTATACAACAGGTTCTTCTGAGGACAGAGGCTTTCTAGTTTTGTATGGCTTTCGGAAACCAATAAAATGCCAGTTCAGCAAGGCATTTCACTTAAGCCTACAGTTGTCCCATTGGCTTTAGCAGAATTTTTTTTTAAATAGTCGTCTTAAATTTAGTAGAACAAGAGAAAAATTTGAACCCTAATTAAAAAATGTCTAGTTCTGCTTGAACACGTTCTTTGCCGAATTGAGATCTTTTTCAGATACCTGACTAAATTTTTCTTTTTTGAAAATTTTGGCCCTTTTATATGGTCACTAAATTCTGTTCCTGTTTTTGAAAGCAGTTAATTTTTTCTGGTTTAAAAACACCTGCAGAGCTAAATTTTTTACCTCCAAAGGTGCTTTTGGCAAAAGGCAGAAGATGTAAGGCTATAATTATATTTTGACCAGTTGCTTACCATGAACAGTTAGCTGAAAAGACCAACTTTTCAGCAAATCAGTTGCTTAAACAAGAATATATAATGTGGAATTATAATGACTTTCATTTTGTCCAAGATGTCTCATAATAGTATATGATATTTAAAAAGGAGGCTTTTATGCAAAACAGATTCAATGACATAATTCTGCCTGCTTCGGGGTTTTCATGGTGAATTTTAACAGTAGGTCCAGTTTTAATAATACATGAGAAATTAGAAGATAAAGTTTTTTTTTCTACTTTTTTGCAACAACCATCATGTTGTTTTATTAGAATAACTTACATCTGTTCTTTTATGCTCCTTCCTTTTTTATAGTGCGCATAATTATGAGGTGCATTCTTTTATGCTGACATCAACCATCACTGAAAATTTTGATAGGCTATGAATAAATTCAGTAGATGCCTATTAACACAAATATGACTTACATTCATTCCTATTCAGAATTTAACTTCACATACAGTACAGAAGCATATGCTAGGATGAAGCCAAGTCTTTGAGTTACACGTATACAAGTTAACTCTTACCAACTACGTTTCAAGTTTCACACACACACACACACACACCTCTTTCCCTTTATGTTCAAAATTTTGTCTTGCCCTATTAAGGATTAGCTTTTTAAAAAATCACATCAGCAAATCTTCTATTTCAAAGGAGAACGAGTCCTAAGACTTAGGACCAAGAAAACCACCCATCAGTTTGAAAACATTCATTGTAACACGCTAATCCTATTTACTCTTGATGGCTTTGTTTCTTAGACTCTTTTTTTTCTGCTCAGTCAGTCCTTGAATTAAATGTTATAATTAAGGTCTTTAAGCAGAACTTCCTCTATTGAGGCTAAACACATGCATTTAGACAAATCAACTAACCAGCAAAAGCCAGTAACTGAATTTGTTCTCCATTTTTGCTTGTCTTAGTTACATGTGCCCTTGACTAACACGGTGGAAATGGAGGAGATATTTAGATAAGCCCAGCATTCTTTTAATACAGTGTAGAAAAATGTTTTAAATGGCTTCTGGGTTGCTATGACATCAAGAGCATGGATTCAAGTAAATGCTTTGTCAATCGCCTCTCTTAAATGCTCTTTCACTATGTGGTTAGGACATCGGACATTGACCATCATTCATGATTATATTGATTTGGTAACCTCACTCTGCTGTGGCCAGGAGCTTCTTTGACCTAGTGAATGGAAAAAAAATGTTTTGCCCACCTCTGAGGATGTGAAGACTTATCAATTCATGGCTGTTACCAAGAAACACATCATTTTCCTAACCTGTCTAGGGCTTTTGTTTTGCTTTTAATAAACCTGATCTGCGCTCTCCTTCCTCACTCCAGATGGACCATGACCCCAGGAACCCAGCGTATATTGCTGCTCAGGGCCCTCTTCCTGCTACTGTTGCTGACTTCTGGCAGGTAAGTTAAACCTGTTTTGAAAGTTCTTGTACGAACCTGAACTAAGCTATGAGTTTGACACCTTTCTGACCTTTCAGTAGTATATAGAGTGTAAAATCCATTATGTTTTAGGCAGAGCTTGTAATAGATTGGCAGGATATCCCAAGTTTGCACATACCTTTCAAAACCATCATGTTGCTTTTGAAGTTGTGTAAATATAAGAATTATGCTAAAGATTTGTTCTTGTCTTGAAATTATATGGGGAATTGTAAGCTAAAAATATTCATACTGGAGCAATTTAGACTTTGTCTAATTTTAAGGTCTTGCAAGTAAGACTCTTCATTTTCAGAGGTCCTGACATCCCCCAAAAGCTAGTAAAGCATAAGCCTACATTCTACATTGACTTACATATCCTTAAGTTTATGTGCTGTGGGGGGTCCCCATGAAGTCTGCTTCTAAGACCCCAATTCAGGGAATTTTAAGTATTGTTTCTAAGTAAGGATTTTTTTCTTGTACTAGGGCCACAATGCATAAAACTTCAGTGTTTACATAAATCCTGGCAGGATTGTCCTAGGCCTGCATTGTAGTTACCCTGACATAAACATAGACCTATTTTGCATGCGCCGTATCAGGTAGATGCATGCAAATTCCTGACTTGGGCGTACACTTAGCTGGGTATGTGCCCATCTAATGATGTGTGCATTTAAATCAGTTGTACTCCAGTACATAGCACCATAGTGTGTGTGTGTGTGTGTGTGTGTGTGTGTAGTGGGGGGTGAATTTATCTACAAGCACAAACGTCTGCCTGAAACATACTGAAACTCAAGCTGTTAGTAATTAGACAGCATTATAAATCATCAGGGCTTATCATCAGAAGCAGAAAATGTTTTTATTTGCTACACTGTTATTTTGCATTACAAACAGAGAATTTTTAGCGGAAGATAGAGGATCTATGAATACAAATTTCAAAAGTGTCCATGTAATTGAGGAGTCTAAGTCTGAATGAAAATCATCTCAGCCCTGATCCCAATTGTCCTTGTAGGCACCTAACCAGGACCTTGGTTGACCCCATTCCAGCAGCTGCAAAACCACCCAGGCATCTCCATTTTGGCCTTGAAATATTCCCTGAGCACCTCCTGCACATGCTCAGAAGCAATACAGATCAGCTACCTAAGTACCTAGCTCCTGCTAAACTCTGTTGCAATCCCAGTTAGTTTGGGAGGAAAGTACAAAGGAGTCCTCAATTCTTTAGGTTGAGATGGAGCCCCCTAAAAACTGCTGGGCACTGAGAACTTGCATGTATGTCGCTCATCACAGAAGGCATGGTGCAGGCCTGCTGCCCTCCGTTGGCCCAATAGCTTGTGGGTTAGAAACCTGACCAGGGAGCAAGTGACCAGGTTCTAAGCTGTCCCCACTCGGAGGGGACTCAAACCTGTACTTCCCAGGAAAGTGCTAGGCTGGGAGGGATCACCACACACTCTTCCTGTTGAGTTCAGACTACCGAGAGCCAAGAGTGCAAGATTCATGAAGACAGAGGAACAGGCAAGTGGATGTGTGAATCTGTAGCCTAGTGGGTAGAGTGGGGAGCTCCCAGTCCTAGTTTGCAGGATTGCTTATGCCTTTTGCATTAGCTAGCTATTGGATAAAACAGTGGTCTCCAAAGTGGGGTGCGCAAGACAATCCATTGGGGTGCGGAAAGAAAATATTAGAACTTCTATTTATATTTATATAAATATACATATATTGGGGGGGGGGTGCTCAAAATTTTTTTTACTGACGGGGTGCACAAATATAAATATACATATATTGGGGGTGCGTGCTCAAAAATTTTACTGATGGGGGGTGTGCGATCAAAAAAGTTTGGAGACCACTGGGATAAAACACAGAGATAACCTGGTAGCAGGGCTGGGGAATCCAGCTCTTAGGCATTTCCTGTAGATCAGTTGTAGGCACCTCCTTCGTAGCAAGTAGCTCAGTCCATTCCTTGCAAAGGCATCCTAGGAGCACAGTCCTGTTGATCTGGATCATCCCCCTGGTGTCAGGTGCCTCTACAGAGGCGCACACAATGTCAGTTTGGACCTGGTTCCTAATCTCTCTCTTTCTTTCACCTTAAATCCCAGGAGTATTTTCTATTCAGGTTATCATCGCTGCAGAGATTTTATATTTTTTCTACATCTATATTTTCTGCTATGTTTTGTTGGTAAATAGAAACTAGATCAAAATTTTAGGACATTTTTTTTTTCTGATTCCTCATACCTGGATTTTTAGATGCTCAGTTTGAAATGCACTTGGCTGGATTCTCAGAAATGTGTAGCAAATGCATCTGTTTGAGACCATTGGTAACGGCTGGTTTGGGGCCTAAATTTTCAAGTGATGGACTATGGAGCAATGATTCTCAACCAGGATGCTGTGGCACTCTGCAGTGCTGCGATAGCGTTTGAAGGGTGCTGCTAGGAAAGAGGAGATAAGTGAGAAAAATATAGGCTGCAGTGAGGAGATAAGATCAGGCTTTTCCAGCCTCTCCTCCTCCACTTGACCTACTGTATTTCCTACTAACTGGGTGCGTCTATACATGCCCCTATGGTACCGTTGTTACTGTGTCATCGCTAAATCATAGCGTGGTAATAGTGCACTGTGCCAGCGGCGCTTGGTTATTTTTAGCTGCTACTTCACCATGGCGACACACTATAGCAAGGGAGCGCATCGCTATGGTGATGTATCTGCGGCATCACAGCTTGTGCCCACTGATGCTACACTGTCGTAGTGTCTGGTGTAGACGCCCTCTGTTCCTCCTCCTTCCTGGCTTCTCCACTTCAACCAAGTGAGCACTACAATAAATGCATTTTTTTTAAGCAGGTGCTACTCAATTCACAAAAGTTTTGGAGGGGTCCCTTGAATCTAATAAGGTTGAGAACTGCTACTTTGGTGTGATCTTTTTTTTTTTTTTTTTAGGAGTAACAGCACTGAAGCAATTTGCAATCTGCACTTTCTGACAGTCACAGCCCTTTAAGATATGTCAGGTTGGATGTTCTTAATCATGAGTTTCTTGTATAAAAATATTAGACCTTTGTTTCTTAAATTGAACATTCAAAATCAGAAGACTCATTTGGCCTTATTAAAAGAGAAAGGTCTTTACAGAACTTCGACGTGTTTTTACAAAGAAAAATGATGGTCCAATCCCAATAAGATTAGGCATACCTATGCTACATTTATTGGTAATGATGTCAGGTAAGGCACAGTGGTACAGATAGCAGCGTGCTGCTGTCGAACAGAATACAAGCGGTCAAATGACCCTGGCTATGTACTCCGGGTGCTTGTTTGTTCTGAAGCCCATGCCATCACATCTTCACCTCTGCTCAGTGTTACCAGCATTAGCTACATTAATTTTAGCACAAGTAAGCACACCTATATGTGCTTAACTCACACCTTCATTTTGTCGTGTAGGCATAACCTTTTTCATATTTCAGTAGCAACTAAAAACCATGTTCAGACGTAAGTGCTGTGTCCATGGTCTGGTTCACCGATACAAACTCCAAAACCCACCTCTGAGCCTGTGATGGAGAGAGTTTTTGGAAAAGTGAGTCACCGGCCATTCTGTACACGTCCTCTCTCCCTCCCTGCCCAACACTTGTTCTCATTCTTTTTTTCCCAACCACTGTTCTCGTTCATCAAGTCCATAGACCCAGTTCTGTTGCCATGTATTTTTTTTTTTAGGAGTTACTAGGGGGTTGCACTAATTAATTAAAACAAAAGATCCCTAGAGTCGTTAAGGTAGGGGGATTCTGTCAGACTGGAGAGAAGGACATCCCTAATTTCCCTGTGTTTTTTGAGTGATGAGATCCTTAGACCTGGTGGCTCTGAGTTCTATTTAATACCCTTAGTGGAATGGCCACCCAAGGAGATACAACTTTCATGTGCTTCTCTAGGGTAGAGGAGACCTATTCCCCGTATCAGGCTGTTTGTTTTGTGGAATGACAGGAATGTTTGTGCGCCCTCTATCATTGTTTTGAGTTAAATAACCATGCGTGGCAATTGTTTGGGGTGGGATAATGTTAGGTTTGCTGAATAGGGCCAAAATCTTTTTGATATCGTCTCTTTGAAGATGCTAGCTAAGGAGGCTCCTAAAAGTAATTTTGGCCAGAGTGAACTTTCCATGATTCCACAAAGCAAATGCATTAAAATCCTGACTCTTAAAAATGTATGTATGTAGTTATCTAGTATTTATATATGTAGGTCATCCATTAGACTTCTAACTAGCCCTTTGCAAATACAAAATTCTCAATTTTTCATATTCACTTGCAAAAATCAGAAGTGAAATGATGCGCACGCATATGCATTTGTTAAATTAGATGCTTAAGGAATGGAGTTTGTGTATGAAATATTGGCCTTACTACAAGCAGGACAAGTTGGAGTCAGTCACAGCAAGATATAGTGGGGGGCTAAATTCAAATACTCAGCCTTTTCAATTAGAGCAGTTAGCCAGTTTGGGGAGCCCTGTTCCACTTAGGAGGAGAAATCAATGAAGCAGTGAGATACAAAGTCCTGTTTTCCCGAACACAAGAGGAATCAAACAAGAGGAGACGGGCTTCAGTTTTCTTTCTTTTCTCTTTGCTCACAGTTCCAAGCCTCTTTCAGGTAACTCTTTACCCAAAAAAATCTTACTCTCTCAACCTTTTTTCCTTTCAGGCTTATGGTAAAAGGGCTTTTCTTGCTGAGGCTTCTTTGCTCTCTTCTGTGTCCCTCCTGTGTGTTTTTGCTTCTTCTCTAACATACATCTCCTTCAGGTAACATCCAAGTTCCTGTGTTTGCTACCTCAGCCTACAGAGCAAGTCTTTGAAGTCTCATGACTCTCTTCCTAACCAAGCTTGGCTGTTTGGGGTCCCAGTTCCTTTTTCTTTTTTGCCATCTGGTCTGCTAAGGAGTTTAGGTCCATGCTTGTCTTGAATGAAGGGTGTCAGTTAAGACCCCCTTGAAGTTCTCCTTACTCACTTCTATAAGTTACCCTAATGGGGTCCAAAATG